CATTAGAGATGTTTTCTTCAACTCATCATATGATTATTTTAAATTATCACCAATACACAGTTGAAAGTAATGTCTGTTTTTCACTTACTAGCCATATTATTAGCCATAGTATTAGTTCAGGGTATGTTAGTTCATTAGTTCACTGTGTGTTTTCTTTCTTTTTTTTTTTTTTTCTTTTATTTACCATATTTTCTTGTCTTTTGGGTTAACTAAATATGTTTAATTTGGTTTTTTTATTTCTTTATTGGATTTTTAGCTATATTTCTTAGCATTATCATTTCTATTAGCTACTTGTAGGAGTAAAATGTGATTCTTTACCTTATTTTATCTATTAGATACTGTGTAAGACATGTACAAGAGTATATTTTCATCTAATTCTAATTGCTCTGCTCTTATAAATTTGAAAGCTGTATGTTTGAAATATTTCATATTAATGTACTCCATACAGCCCATAATTTTTGGATTATTTTTACTTAAGAAAAGAGCCTTAATAGGGCAGATAGATGTGATTGAAATATGCCATTTGCATGTATGAGAATATCATAAAGACAGTTAATAAGTGCTAATAAAGACAGCTTTTAAAAAAGAAGCAAGGCCTGGCACTTAGCTCAGTGGTATAGTACCTATCTGGCAAGTGTGAGGTCTGGTATCAAAAAAAGGAAAAAATAAATTACCACATATATTTATCATTATTAGTGCTATTTCTGTAGTCAAGGTATTATATCTGACATAATCTCTTTTTAGTTCAAGAACTTCTGTTTGTATTTCTTGTAGTGTGTCTTTTTCTTAGATTTACGTGTGAAGATGGAACCCTTCTTTGCTTATGAAGAACATTCTCTCCTGATATATGATTCTGAAATGCCAGCCCCTGCCCATTTTTGCATCAGTGTTGTCAAATCTTTATCTTATAGCACACATTATTTTTGATGAGATGTCAGCCACCATATGTATGATCAGGTCTTGTATGTGAAATGCATTATAATATTTATACTTTCCAGCTTGACAATGATATGGCCAGGGTGGCTTTCACTGCATATATTTTGCTCTTGGTTCATTGAGATTTTGGAATGGGTAAATTTTTTTTAAAAGTGATGCTGCTTTTTCAAATATTTTCTTCTTTTTTCCTGTTATATTCTTTAGGGAGTCTAATTATGCATCTTTTGATATCTTTGAAGTGACTATATCTCTATCCCATTCTTCACTCTTTGTTATTCAAGTTGAAGAAATTTTCTATTGCAATATCATCAAATTCATTGATTGTACTATGTTACCCTTATTATGGTGTTAAGAACACCCACTGAATTTTTTCATTTAAATTATTATGCTTATACATTATGTAAATTTTCAATTTGTCCTGTTTCTACTCTTGTACTGAGATTCTCTTTTCCTTTTGCTTTTCTTATGATTACTTATTAAGTCAAATAAAATATTTTTGTTAGTGCGTTTAACCATCATTCTCTTTGAAGTTACATCACCCTAGTTATCCTGTGATACTTCTACTGATCATTTATTCCTCCTACTGATTACTGTCACTAGTATCCTACTGTCTAGTTATCTGGGAATTTGTCCTGGGCATTGTGGGTTATATATTGCAGACACTGGAGAGTGTTAGCTTTGTTCTAATGACTATTAAATTACTGAATCGTTATTTCATGCATGAATGATCTCACCCTTATTGATAGAGTGAATTTTTATTCTTGGGATTTAAAGTGCAGATCTTCCGGGGTTTTGACCTGAGATCTTTGGAAATCTTTGATTTGGTGGGATTTAAACCTGAAGCTCTGTCTCCCCTGAGTAGTTATATTTCCACTCAGCTTTTCAGCTGTGGGTATCTACTGTACTCTATGGAGTCCGCAATGTGACTATACATTAAAATACTAAGTTAAACTCAAAATTTGGATCTAACTTTTCTGTGACTTTCCTTTCCTCAGTCTAGCAGCTCACACTCCAATCTGTGACACTTCCCACCAATAATTCTGTTTACTTTCCCCGCCCCTGAGTTCATACTTGCTATCTGTAGGATGATAAATTTGATATGAACTACCACCAGACCAGAGTCCCTGAAATTTATATTTCAGGAATAAAATATTTTGATATAAAATTTTGTCTGGTTTTACAAAATTAATTTTTATCTAACCTAGGAATCTGAGATTCCTTCATGATTTTTATAAAAATTCTAGTCACACTTACCAATTTTGTATAAAATCATCCTAATGAACAAGTGGTGATGGGAATTTAGGAAAGGGTTCACATCACAATAATATATATGATTTTAAGTTGATTATCAGACTTTTTTTCTTAAAATCTTTCAGTAACTAGGGATTGTCTTTGTTATTTATTAATGTATGACAGACATTATATGCTTCCCTGAGTTTCTTCTGCTCTTTTCTATTACATATCCCTGTCCATTAACTGTTGATTTGCCAAGAGACTCAGTTCTCCAATATCTGCTGTTCTGATTCTATCAATATCACCCTCAACCATTCATTCACTGTCAGAATTCCACTTGTTTATATATACAAATATATCCCAATTTGATTTTACTTGGCCTCTTATGCTACCATAAACTGTTCCTTCCAAGGTATTTCTGTTTATCTCTACAGTAAAGGCATAAAACTAACTAACTAACTAAATATATATATATATATATATATATATATATATATATATTCAAATGAATCCCTATAAACCATTATGTATTTCTAGTTTCTTTGCCATTGTCAATATCTCAATTTTGTCTCCAGGTGTTAGGAAATAGTCTCGATGACAATTAAATCAGTTATCTAAATTTAATAACCTTTTCAGGTAAACTAATTTAAATCAAAACTGCCATTTTGACAGATATCATGCTATGACTTGCTATGAGAATTGTCATCTAATGACTCCTTAAATTAAGTCAAATCATTTTGCCTACAAATAGAAAGCATACAACCAGTTTTCTTCACAACCTTCTCCAAAAAAATGACTTATTTTTTAGAAGTCTTTTTGAAGTATTTTAATAAGTATATATGTTCAATAATGCATAAGTTAGAGGCTAAACGTATTATACTTAGATTCAGTAGAATTTTGGGCCCCTATTTGTCCATGTGTATACGCATTGTCACAGGTACTTAACCTTTTTTTTTTAAAAGTAAGTCTTAATGCCATTTGTAGATACTGTTCAGTTCTCTTTCATCCAAAAAAAATAAACTTCTATTTTAAGATGATTTATTCTGGCACTCTTATATAAGCATGTCAATCCATATTTTCAGTTCTATAGTTCTACTCAAATTCACGCCTATACAACATACTCAGATAAATACTGTTCTGGATCCTGGAACATCTTTGAACTAAACAGACTTACAGAGAGATGTGTATCTAACTATATGATCACAACCTCTGATGAAACCATCTACTCCACATTGACAGACATTATCAGAAATAACCAACTTATTATGTTAAAGACATTATTCATTAAATAAATGGCAGCCTCTTCATGTAATTTTTACATAGAAATCTATCATTTCTTTCAGACCACAGATCATTGCATTTTTGGTTTACTTAATTTGTTTTTCTGGACACAGAAACTTACAATATTTACAAGACTTTTCTCTTTGCATTATTTGTATTAATTCAGAGCCAAATTCATAACTTGCTTCTGCAACAGTCCAACAACAGTACAGTGGTGAACATAGCTGATCTCCTTTTGCAATACCAATTTTGTCAGTCGAGTATCTCTGTCCACTCATTTTGTCTGTTTTCTCATATTCAACAAATCATCAGATTTTTGCAAATATTTCTTTCGATTTTCTTCCAGCTCCATTCCTAATTATCCCTTATCATTGCAATCTGCATTGTATTGCATTTATAAACTGGCCAATTTCTATAAAATTTACTTTTCACTTATAAGAAGATTGATGAAGGTTCAAGTTTTTGTCACTTTAAATTTTCCAATAAATTTCTGTCCATTGTTCTCTATAATTTTCAACTCCTCTCTCAGGAGGAGTTCACTCTTTCATTATTTCCACACCTTATTCTCTCCCATTTTTCTTATTACTTTGTTGCATAGGCTGTTTTTCTTCAGTCTAGGGTCCTTCCCATCCCTTAACAAGCGTTCTGTTACCATTGATATGTCTTATCATTGTATTAAAGCGAATTCAATGTTCTCTTCCAAATATCTTCTAGTCCTTAATTGTTCTTTCAGTTTCAAGGTCTTTCAGTTTCAAATCTTCACTTTTTGTTGAAATTTTCTTATTGGCATCACCTCTTCAAGGTTGTTTGTATTGTTTTTCATATACATATAAAAAGCAGTTTGCATACTAAGACCTGTAATCTACCCATACAACTAAAGATGAATTTCTAGGAAACACTATTAAACATAAGTCAATGCGAAAATCTATATCTGGGGTGCTTTGCACCTAACTTTTCAGCCTTCTCAATTTTTGTATTGTGTCATATTGTGTTGGTGTTAGCACGCTGTACTTTTATTTGTATATGCTTACGTTATATAACTAGGCCTTGTGTTTTAAATGGGTTATAATAGGTTATTTAAAATTTCTAGAGATTAAAATATGCTTAGTAAACTAGGAAACACTGTGTTGGGTTTTTTGTATGTTTTATAAATATAATTGACAAATGTAAAATCTCAGACATCTATTTTGCTTAAGAGATAGCACATCTGTGTTTTGAAGATCAAAATATATGGTCATAAGTAAAGAATAGATGAAAAATAGTCTTCCACATTAGTGTCCTTAACCTGGTCAGCGAGAAGTCAGTACAAACTTTCATCAGAATCTTATGAGAGGTTGGCAACTTCTAATAATTGGCATTCAGAAACTAATGGAATAGTTATATATCACACACATTTTTGTATTCTAAGTAGAACCTGCTAATCACTAAAATACACACATTTAAGGGAGTAGCAACTTACTTATATGGTTCTATAGACTACTGTTTAGCTGTGATGCAAGTATCTTACCAATACAGATAATTTATGAATAAAAATGCACTTTACTGAATACCTTGGCAGTTAATGTTGATCGCTTCATCACAGTTCAGTCATGTTTAGAAAATTTAAGCAAGCTGTGTGATTACTCCAGGAAGCATGGAATGATGTGTTCAAATTAGTACCATCTGTGGATAGAAAGAGTTTGAAGTTTTTAGTCATTCTTAAAGAATGGAAATCTGATTCTCCATGCTAAAATGAATGTAATCCTTTTTGTATCTGTAATTCAATAGGGCAGTTGCTTTGATATATTCCACTTCAACACACACTTCATCAAAAGAGGAGATACTAATTATAAATAAGTGCTATTGGTGGTTACTTATGAGTATTTGTGAGGGTGCCTTGTTAAAAATATTGTCTATGAGTTGTGCTATATGTTTGGCTCAGGTCACATTTAGTACTGGTTCATCTTTTGAACACATTGATAGAAAAATGACAGATGTTGTGCCACATGAAAATCAAAGGATTGCATCAGTGAATCATAATTTATTCACAAGTCAACAAACATTTACTGATCATTCCATCCAAGAGTGTCCTATCTCAGTGCCTGTCACATGGCAGGCAACTAAAAATTCTTGTTATGCTTCCAAGCACCAGGTTAAAACCACTTTTGCCTGGACATTTTGTTCTCTGAAACCCTTATTTGGATATTAGACTCTGTCAACTATATTAATTTGGTAAAAAATTTTACTTTGCATGAAAATTTGTCATGAAAGCCTTCTTTCCTACTGTCAGAACTTCAGAGAAAAAAAATTGGTCGGAAAATCATAGATACCTAGTTGACCCTAAAGAGAAGGGCTACTTCCTCTGTCACTTCTTGCTGATTAGCTAATGAATATATTCCCTGGGAGCAGCAACTTGGTGAACTCTAGAGAAAGGATATTGAAACATAGGAGTGTTTGGTAGTAGACCTGAAGGGAAGTGAAATATCAGGATCATATTCCATGGTTCCCAAGTAGAGAGAGCATAATGTAGTTTTAATAAAAGCCAAAATTAATATGAAAGTAACTTGTCAAGCCACCCCAAAATTCTATTGGTAAAACTAAAGATCTCGGTATCGAAGGCTTGATATGGTAGAATCCCTTCCTATGTGTCCAGCTTTCTTCCTTCCCATCCATTTCCTTGTGGACGTAGAAGCCTTTATTAAATGTTTTCAACACGGAACACTCTTCTCTCTAGTCTTAACCTATCGTAAGGCTATTCATCTGGGAAGCTACTTCTTACTCTTTAGGTAACTAATTATTCTTTATCAGGAAAGCCTTTTCTCATCATCTGTTCAAATCAAATTCCCTGCTGTATCCTCTATCCATTTGCTCATTATATTTAAAAAATGCTTACTACACAGCATTTTTGTCCCAAAGTCTTGGGAGAGACAATCCAAAATGCAGATTTAGATTTCCGTGTGATTATAACTTACAGATAATATTTTGAAGTGATTGTTTAATATTTTATTGATGTGGGCAGAAGAAACTTTTGTGTAGAATATTGGAATGCAGAGGAAATAAAAATAGATTAGATGTCTTTAGAGTAGATTTTCAGTACAAAACTAATATTTAAGGAAAATAAATATCATTTCAAATAAGAAGGCTTTAAAAATAAGTTATGTAAAAATGAATTTCAAAATAAAACCCCTCATAATTTTGAGTTTTTCTTTGTTGCATATGTTTAAACATAGGCTTCATATGTAGTAATTGATCATTTTGTAAAGGGGAATAATATTAGATTTATATTGCTGTATAACAAGTTATCACATGCTTTTGGTTTAATGTAACACCATATGTTAAATCACAGTGCTAGAGATCAAAGGTCAGTGGAGGCTGTGGCTTGATTTTTCATGAAGTCCCACAAGCTAAAATGCAATTATCTCTTAACTATTTTAACTGTTTTGATGTCGAATTTAGAGTCTTCTTCCAAGCTCACATGGCTGAATCAGAATTCAGTTCTTTGACATTAATAGACAAAAATTCCTTTTTCCTGACAAGCTCTTGACCAAGGGCTGCTCCCTGTTCCTGGAGATAATAAGCACCTTTTATCATGAGGTCTCTTTCTTCTGAAACACAGCAATGGAAAAAATGTTATATATTGAATCTATCTCTGTTTTCAAATCTCTTACTGTGTGTTCTAGAATGAGGCAAAGAAAATATTCTTAACAGACTCATGTTATAAGGCCAGATCCATTAGATATCTCTCTATAATAGTAATCTGTTTTGGATTCTTAATAAAAGCAGCAAAATTTCCTTTCCATCTGTACTTGGGCCAGTGTTTGGTTAACAAAGTAAAAGACACTGCATGAACAGGGGCTGGGGATCCTGGGGAAAATTTGTAAGGAGATAAATTGATCAAGATGATCTCTAAACTTCCGTCAGATTTTGAGAGTTTGTGATTTTGTTATTCATCTGCCTGTCACTGATTCAGCTACCAAAATACATATTTTTAAACCTGAGTCCTTTTCTACTGCTATCATCTTATTTTTTCTTTCTGGAGCAAACCAAGTAACCTGTGAATTTTTTTTTTTCTTTTTCTATAGTTGCCAGGCTACATTTATAAAAAGTACAATTCTGAACACCTCATCTAGCACCTCTGTAGCATTCCATTGTCTCACTAACTCTCTGTAAGTCCCCCGACACAGTAATTATGCAAGCTATTATAAAGCCTTTCTGTCTGTTATTGTCAATTGGATGTATAAGTTGCACTCAAATTTGAATTTAGCTAACATCACACCCCGTGTAGAATCTCCATCTTTACAGTCAGTGTAATCCTGCCTCACATTTTCTCTGAAATCTTTTTCTCTAAAAATTCCTCAACCTTCAAGACAGTTTTATTTCTCTTCTTCATGTAGAATGTTTGAAGACTGCATTATGTTCAGGCAACATACATTTAAATTTAGTGAGTGAGGGATTTGACTAAATTACATAATTTATACTTTTTAACCAGTTCTAAAACTGCTTGTTTTGTAAATATAAATTGTTTCTAAAAATAATTTTTTCTCTAATTGCTACTCTTCATGATAAACAAAAATAAAATAGTGTGTTGTACATAATATATTTAGTATTTTGTTTATGACTTAAGATAATGACTGATTATATTCAGGAAGAATTGATGATAAATATTAACTAAAAATTGAGTAAGAAAAGCTGATTGTATGACTTTAAGTAACATAATAGTTGTTTCCATTAAGTTAGACTTCATCTTGGGGGCTGGAGATTTAGCTCAGCGGCATAAGTGCCTGCCTTGCAAGCGTGCAGTAGATCCCTGGGACCGATTAAAAAAAAAAAAGTTAGACATCTTCTTGTCTCCTTTTACGCAAATATATGTCACAGATCTGTAGATAATTTAGTAAAAATTTAAGAGGAAATTGAAATTTTTAAGTCAAATCTGGACCTTGTCATTCACCTGCCCAGTGCTAGACATCTCACTTTTGGTATCTGAGAGGCGTTTCAAAGTCAGTGTTCTCAAATATGCTTAATGTTTCTCCCCTAAACTCACTTTTTCCTCAGTTATCATCCTTTTGGCTATTAGTGACTTCTATTTGTTCATTGGAATGGCCCTAGAGCTTTCTTTTAGTCTCTTTATTCTCTAGTATTGAACACATCACACATCAGCAAATATTACCACTTCTCCTTCAGGATGTATTTATGTTTCCCTTCTGGTGCTGCCATCTTAGTCCAAGGTACCACAATTCCATTATCACTGCAGTACCTAGTAATCGGTTCCTTGTTCCCACCCTTATTATCCTTCAGTGTGTTCTCAAGCTGGTAGCTAGAGCGATTCTTTGAAAATGTGTTGCAACCTGTCACTCATTTGCTCAGATGAAGTCTATAATAAAATATGGTTATAAGGTAACAATCTGGGCTCCAGTGTCTCTTCTCAGACTTCATTTCTTATGGCAATTCTGATCTTTTCTGAGCCTGTTTTTTCTCAAAAATACAAGCCATGCTTTCACCTTAAATTCTTTAATCATATTTCTTCTGTGGTGAACTTTTTTCTTGAAATATTTATATGACTATTTCCCATCTTCATCAGGAATGTAAGGTCTTCTAATCAGCAAGATCTTCTCCAATAGCAAAACTTAAAATATAGACCTGAAACTCTGTCTCTTCTGGTTTCTTACTTATTATTTGCTGCAACACTGATCATCATCAGAAATAATGTACATAATACCTATTTATATTTTTGTTGTAAAAAGCCCTCCCTAATTTATATTTCATGAGGATGAGGATTTTTGTCTGGTTTTATATTTCCAGCATCTACAATAATACCTGCATAATTGGAATCATACTAGATATTTATTTAATATTAAACTAATATGACCTATTTAGGAATAAGAGTTTTATAAATATTTAATTTTCTTTAAATGTGAATATTATTAATATGTACTTTTCATGGAGTATGTAACCATAATTTTCTTGTAAGTCATTATTATTATTTTCATTTTAGTCTTAGCATAGACTCTTCAAAATATAAAATGATTGAATAATGTTTCAGGACCACTGATCTTTCATATCTCTAGCCATTTATGCTTACTTTTACATACTTTTGCAATAAACTCTTGAGCTTTGTTGAGAAAGATGTGAGCTTTGTTGTATCTTGAATCCTCAGCACCACATCCAGAGCTGACATGTGGTTTTCACTTAGCAACAAACTGTTGGACCAAGTAGGTCTATGTGATTGCAGATGATATATTGGTACCTCCATCTGTATATTAGTATCAGTGTGCAGGATTCTTGGGAATTGAATACTAAAAATTCAGACTATACTCAAGGAAATACTTAGAATTATATGAATATGGAATTTTCTTTTTTACAAGTAAATTATTTCCTTCTCTGTGAAGCGAAAGTATGTTTGTACAAGATATGTATGAGCATTAGGATCAAAATTAAGTTTAAAAAATCAACAATTTTGTCATCGGGGATTTAGCTCAGTGGCATAAGCGCCTGCCTGGCAAGCAAGAGGTTGTGAGTTTGATCTCCAGTATGAGAGAAACAGAGAGAGGGAGAGGGAGAGAGGGAGCGAGGGAGGAAGAGAGAGAGAGAGAAAGAGAGAGAGAGAGAGAGAGAAGACAATCTTGTCCTCTCCATTTGAAATAGTGGCCTCTGAACATAACCATAAGGTTCTACTCATTAATTTTGGGAATATTAATCTAAGGAGTATCATAATTTGACAGAACTCTACTAGGTGCTTCATAATAGAATATTCTAAAATGTAATTTTATTTGTTTATAAAATGTGTGGTAATTTCTCCTTTAATTTTTAGTTCCCAGTGTTCCTACGAACATTGTACTTTCTAATGTTCAGTCAACTAGTGCAACATTGACATGGATAAGACCTGATACTATTCTTGGATACTTCCAAAATTACAAGATAACAACTCAGCTTCGTGCTCAAAAATGCAAAGAATGGGAATCTGAAGAATGTATTGAATATCAACAAATTCAATATCTCTATGAACCTGACCTGACTGAAGAGACAGTATATGGATTAAAGAAATTTAGGTGGTACCGATTTCAAGTGGCTGCCAGCACCAATGCTGGCTATGGAAATGCTTCCAACTGGATTTCTACACAAACTCTACCTGGTCGTAAGTATTATCCTGGAATATACATACTGATTCCTACCATAATCTATATCTTTATAATCATGATTTCTATTTAATTCAACTGTATATGTAATTATTGAACATAAAAGCAAGTTAGTATATAGGCTAACATATAATAACATGTTTATATTTAATTAAAATCCAATGGATAATTAAACTTTGGTGATTATTAGGGTTTTTCTTTAAAAAATTATGAAAGTTTTACCAAGAACAGAGTTATTGACTGGTTGATTTACTTGAGAAAGGTCTATGTGGTTTAGGCTGTCTTTGAACTCATTGTGTAGCCCAGGCTAGCCTTGAACCCATGGTAGTCCCCCTGCCTCAGGCTCCCAAACGCTGGGATTACAGGATTATGTCACCACATCTGGTGAACTAGGGTTTTATATTGCAACAAAACATGTGGAAAGTTTTTCTTGTGAGATACCATTAGTCCATACTGATTACTGTGAAAGGTATCTTCATCACTACCTAAATTTCCACTTCATATTTTAAGGCTCTACTACTTTTTAACTGGATCTTGTAGCCTTTTAATGATCATAGGCTTTCTCTCTCTTTCCCTCTCTCTGTCCTTCCTCCCTATCCTTTCCTTTCTGTTTTCCCACTTCATCTCTCTCTACCTCTTGCTCCTTCTCTTCTCATTTTTCAGAAAAAATAATTTTCCCAATGTTTGTTCAAAGAAATACCAAATGTCTAACTCCAAGCTTGAGACAGTGGAAGAAAATAATACAAATAAACATGAATAACTCTCAAAATCATTCAACCTGGTGTACATTTTTCAAGAAATTTACAATCAGGAAAAATCTGTTTAAATGCTTTTCTATAGAAATCACTCAACCTGTAGGTAAAGGTTCCTCTTCAAATATTACTTTTATATTTTGAACTTAACTGGTCACTCTAAGTCACTTAGACCACATCACTAAACGTATTTAAATAAATTTCCATTCTTCATCCTGAACCTGATACCTGTATAGAATTGTAATTATTTCCATGCAGTGTAAGTCAATTCCCTATGAAATCATGCAAGCTGGAGTGCTAAGAAATGGCTACATTTTCTGAAGTTCTGTGTCTAGGCCAAATCCAGCACTCCAGAGCAAATTTTAGTCTTTCAGTTTACCCATTCTGACACTGCCTCATATAAATCCTCCAAATGTGGGCCTTCTGTTGCCAATTTCTTTCCCTGACCAAGGCTTTTACTCATTGATTCCTTGCAAATCCAAATGTTTCTTAAACATTTTGATACCAATTAGCAGAGAAGTACACAAACACGCACACACTCCATACATTCATACATACCCAGCGACACATACACACAAACACACATATCTGCACAGAAATGCATGTATACACAGTCATGTGCACATACATTTACAACTAGATTTTCAGTGGCAAATGATTACTGTGTTAGGCCTTTATAGATAATGAAATAGACTTTGATCAAGATCATTTTATAAGCCATTGAATGTGTTGTTAAAATTTCTCAGAGTGTGCCTGGCATCATGTTATAATATAAAATGTCAAATAAGTGCTTAACATATTTCAACATTGCAAGTAGAATCCTGATAACACAGCTGTCAATCAATATTTTTTTAACTTTAACTTTGTTTCTGCTAAGACCTGTCTTCCTGGTAGTTCTTTATTAGTTTGTTTTTCTGCCTTCTCCTTGTATTTTCTTTCTTAGAGTTTAAATATTAGATATATTTAATATACCCATGTGATAGCCCCTAAGAGATCGTAAGTGTCCTTCTTCTACTCTGTGGATTTAAATCCCCAAATCTATTTCCAGTCCTGTAAATGCAACAGAACTGCTGATTGGTATATTTATCTCATCAATGATATCATTAAGCATGTGTGCCAAATAAAGCTCTCAAAACTAGTACAATTTCAACCCCAAATCTTATTTATTTTGGTGAAGTATATGATTATTCATCTGCTTGCAGAATGAAAATCCAAACAGGTTCCCTTTTCCTCAGTTTGACCAGTGATTTATTTCAAATCCATCTTCTTCTTGCCAAGCCCTTTGTAACGGCCTCCATTTCCACTTGCCAAGCCCTTTGTAATGGCCTTTGCTGCAGTAACATGACTGTCCTCTTCAGTTGTTAGGCCAAAACAGTTATTACATTCTTGCTTAAAGTTACTGAGTGAATTCCCATGACTCTTAGAGTGAAATTCAGATTTCTTAACAGGATTAACAAAGCCCTACATGACCTGGTTCTTACCTGACACTTTAACCTCATTGATAACTACCTTCCCCTTATCATCGTATTCCACCCACATTAGACTTCTTTTGATGCTTCAACACCAGAAAATCCTACAATTTGAGCCTTTGGGCTGTTCTGTTTGGCTGAAATGTTTTTCCCCATTTTACTTCACACAAACAGAACATCTATCTATTGTTTTAGTGATCCTTGCTTAGAATAGATTTCATTGACCACTCAATTTAAATTAACCATGCATTAACTTTCTGTAACATCACTGGATTGCAATGAAAATTTATAAATTATCATTTTAGATAGTTTGTGTTTAGAGATCATTTTGTTTATAACTATTCCTTTGAAGTCTAGAATAGTGCATGACATTGGTATGTACCCTAGAGACATTTCCCAAAAGAGTGAATCATGGCTAAATAAAGTACAGTGAGTAAAGGAGGAGGAACTGTTCTCCATGTACCTGATGGTGAGGACGCTGGTGTCATAACAAAGAAAAGAGAAGTATGGGAAGACAAAACTGAGTTTTGGGATTAGTCACACACAAACAAGGATAATTATTTTGTACATACACTTTGAAAAGAAACCATTCTAATTTCCCTTCATACAACAATAAATAAGTGAATAAAGATTAGCATATGGTACAGCTAAAGGTTTAGTTGCTTTAGCTGATAGGTGTAAATAACACCACAAGTGCAGATTTGATAGAAAAATGAGATATCTGACTAAAAGAATAAATTTCAAAGTCCCAGGAACTGAGGGTTGCTTGATAGAGTCACGCAGGTATCATTACAAAAGAAATTGAGTTTTGTAAAATAATTGAGAGCAATGCAAACCATGACAATTTAATGCAGAATGTGATGTATAAACAGGAAGTTGCTACTTACCTCCAGTTGATAATTTTTCTATAGGGAACCCATAATATTTCAGAGAAACAGAAAATTTACATGTGTATATTAAAACAATTTCTTGAAGCTAATTTTTAAAAACTAAAAAAATATCATAATTGTTTAACCTCAATATATTATATCACAGCCTTGGACAGTTTGGCTAAAATGTATGTTTGTCTATATGTCTTCTGCCATGAAGGGTTCCATCTCGTTCCTTATGAACATCTCAGGTAGGAGTACCTCCTTCTACCTAGTACACTTTGCCAGGACATTCTAGTTTGTTGTCTTCAAAAGCACAGCTGACACTAGTAAGATTTCAATTACCATAAAACAATATAACAACACTCTCATTGCTGCCCCGACATGGTAGGAACCCAGGCAAGCAGTGCCAGAGGTGGAAGGCCTCTCCAATTACTGCTCTGCCATTGAGGGAACCCAGGTGAAGGTCACCTGTGGAGGGTGGTGCCTCCCCACACTACTGTCAAGAGTGAAGTGAAATGCTTGGAAAGGCTCAGAAGGAATACTAGCAACACATTAGTCAACATAGTCTCAATTGAAGCACACTGGATGGACAGGGGAGACTACTGATGTGAAAACTCTGAAGTAACAATAACAATATGCACCAACAGGTGACTAAAGGTCTTTGCAGGACAAGCAACCAGCTTGGGAAGAACCCAGACAGCAAACACCTCTTAAGAACAGATTTTTCCTAGAGAGGTCTCTATACTTGTGTTATACCTACAAAACAAGGATCATTACAGAGAACAAAATGAAAAGTTGTTAAAATAGAAAATAGCAAGATAAAGAAGTAAAATGCAATCTCCGACCTACAGCCCACACAAAAAAGTTCAAGAGACATCAACACAGAGAAAAAAAGAAAGGTACACATCTGAAATTTCTGAAATAATAGCAACTAAATTAAAGAAACTAATCCATGAGGCCACAGAGGAAATTAGATTACTAATAGCCTCTCAGGTAAAAGAAAAGTAATGTCAACATTTTCAAAGGAAATGCTCAGTAAATTAGAGTAGATATGGATAAAAAAAATAGATGGTGATAGCAAGAGGATGGAAAATTGTGAATGATGAATACAGGAAATAAATAGAATGCAAGAAATGGATTGAAGCACATATTAAGGAAATTGAATATTCCATTGGAAACTGGGAAAATTTGAATGCTTGAATGAAATTGAAGACAGACTTTTAGACCTTGAAGACAGGATCACAGCTAGCAATCTTGAAAGTTCTCTTGAAAATAACAAAAGCTCAAGAAACAACAACAGCTACAAGATGACTGAAAGAAAAATAACATGAGAATAATTGGTGTCAGTGAAAAAAATGGGAGGAAACACAAATGATGTAAAGAAACTATTCGCAGAAGTAATAGCAGAAAATTTCCTAAGCATGGGAAAAGAATGTGACATACAGATAAGTGAAGCATATAGATACAAATTAGCAAAAACCAAAATAAATCTATACCTAGACATATAATAATCAAGATCCAAGACATTCTTCACAAAAACAATACTAAAGCTGTTTGAGAAAACAAACAGATCATCTATAAAGGAAAGCCCATCACAGCCACAGCAGATTAGTGTACTCTGCAAAAATGTCTTTCAAAATTAATGGAGATATACCATACTCCCATTAAAAAGAACAGCTGAAGAAATTAATGACTACAAAACCAACACTATGAAAGGGACTGAAAGATATTCTAGACAGAGACAAAAATGATCATAATTCCAAAGACAACAAGAAGAAACCACCAAGCAGGGCAAGCAGTTAAATAGAGGAGAAAAGTAGGGAATCAGCAGCAAGAAAATAACATGACAAATACAGGTCAATACATATCAGTTATTATCATTAATGTAAATGACCTCAGCTCACCA